AGGTCCCGCCAGTGGGGAGGCAGTGCTTTCAAGTTCAAGCAGCAAGAGGAGGGGGCCCTGGAAGCGTCCAGCCCAGGCCAGAAACCCTCATGGCTTCTGGCAGCGGGATGTGCAGACCCAGGTGGTGGGGTGATTTTGGTGACGACAGTGTGTCTGTCCCGCTGAGTGTTAGTGCGCATGAATAGGGGGTGGGGTGGGGGGCTCGCAGGGCTGGACCGATGTCCTGGTGGACCTGGTAAGAAATCCTGTCGAACAACAAAACTTTTAATGGTTTGCTAGGATTATTTCTGTATTGAAAGTTTCTAATTATGCTTTTTAAAAAAAGTACTAAAAATAAAGGTTCAAGCTGCCAAATTTTCTTCTAGGGTCTGTTTCCTCCAGCTGTGCTCTGGGTGGGCTTGGCTTCTTCCACCCATTGTGTCCAGCTCGTTTGTTCTGGTTTAGGCACAGGGACACTCTGAGAAACCAAGTTCATTTTCCCCATGATAGGCTGGTCCAGGTTGAGCTTCTCTGGTTTGTTACGTTGGCCGAGATCATGTGTGGTGAGATGCCAGGGGAAGTGCCGTTTATTCTCTGCACGCCCGGAAGGATGCAGTAGAAGCTTTGCCTGCAGCGATTTGACTTGGAAGTTTCTGCCAAGCTGGAAGGCCGGCCTGTGGCCGGGCAACCGCAGTGCTCGCTGGCAGGGAGCCCAGGCCAGGGTGGGCGTGGAGGCTGTGCCTTCGGCCACTGCTCCCAAAACGGCTGTCACAGGATGCCTACACCCTCCGGGGAGGTGCCCCTTCCTGGCTGAATCCACGGGTTGGGTCCCCGTGTGTGAGATGACTTCCCAGGTGTGTGGGGGACTCACTATTTCTGCATCTTCATGGCAGCCAGTGGCAGCTCTAAAGGTAAGCCGAGTTCTGACCGAACCACCCCTCCAGGCACCCAATGACCAAGGCAGGAAGCTCTGTAGAAATTCAATTTATTCTTATACTATTTTCAAAAGAAGCAGTGGTGCGCTGTTTTTCTAAAAATATGCCTTTATAGATTTTTATATATAATATGTATATTATAAAATCCATACATGTATTTACATGATTGCTACATACAAAAGTACAGCACTGTGGTATGTACATATCTATAGGTACATTCTTTCCACTCTTCCCTGCTGTGCTTTTCCCAGGTGAGGGAGGGAGACGATCCTTGGGCAGCAGCCTGCGGGCTGCTCAGCCTGGGCGCCCGGAGGGCGGCCTCAGCAGGGGAGGAGCAGCGGCTGCTGAGGGAGCAGGAGCAGCAGGTTGCAGGATTCGTCCTGCAGGCCTAGTGGGCAGTATCTGGAGGCATCCACCCCGTGGTGACAGTGCTGCCCTTGAGGTGGAGGTGGCTGACCACAGACCCCTCTGGGGCCGTTCTGTGGCCTGGACTTGCTCGGCTGAACCAAGAACTTGTGATGTGAGTGGAGCAGGGCACTGTGGTTGGAGGAGAACCCCTCCCAGCCCTGGCTCTGTGAAGGGGAAAGGACTGGATGGCTAAAGCCTGCCAAGGGCCTGTCGGGAGCCTGGCCTGCATGGGCGGAGGCCAGGGAGGGAGAACAGTGATGCCAGGGGGCAGGCCTGTCTTCCTTCTGGGCTCAGAATGGCCTCAGCCAAGCCGCAGCAGAGCCCACCGTGGCTGAGCGCAAGAGAACGGCCCCAGCCATCAGGCCCCACAGGCTGGGTCTCCTGCCCACGGTGCTCCCGGCAGAGATGCATGCACACGGGTGAGGGGCCACCTCCCCCTACTCCCTGGGCCAGGGGCTGGGGGAGGGACGCAGGCTCAGGCCAGCGGGGCAGCAGGAGCCCCCTGAGGCATGCAGAGAGGGCCTCTGTTTCTCCTGTTCCCCGTGTTCCACACTGGAGGGCAGCAGTGCTTGGGGTTGGGCCAGGGAGCCACTGAGGGGCGAGCGGGGCCGGCCACTCTGGAGGCGGCCTGAGCCCCCTGCTCAACGACAGCGGATCCTCGGGAAGCCCAGGCTGGGCTTGGCTGGGCAGTGGGCACAGGGCTCCTGCCTGGCCCAGGGGAGGCCCTTGCATGCAAACACCCGCACTCCTTTCAGTTGCCTCCAGTCCGCCCGTCTCGCTGGCCTGACTCCTCCCAACTTAAATTTTCCTGAAGAATGAGAAGAGCCGTTTGCCTTCGGTGGTGCTGGGCTCGTCCCCGTGGCCCGCGCCATGGGCCCTGGAGAGGGCAGCAGCAGGCCGGCTCCGTTCCTTCAGGTGCGTGTCCATCAGCTGCCGGTCAATGACCCTGTGCATGTCATCCTGCAGAGAACACAGCGGAGGGAGCTGAGCAGAGCAGTGTCCTGACCCTGGCTAGGGAGGTGACAAAAATATCTGAGGGACTGAAGGACAAGAGATGAAGGAAGATGAGGATGAGGGATGACATGGTGAGTGACTGTGGTCAACCAAGAAAGTTGGTTGACCACAACCAAGAAAGCGGCGAGTATAGATGCCAGGACGCACGGGAGCCTCATGACACGTCGGCTCAGGACTGGGGCTGGCCTCTCCTCAACAGTGTTGCCCTCGGCTGACCGACCCCGCAGAGGGTTTGTCCCTCTGGGCGCAGACAGGCTGCAGCTGGTCCCTTCCTGTCTGTCTCTCCACTCTGCCCGCCAGCTCCATACCAGTGCTCAGCCTCGATAATCATTACTGGCCTGAGCTGCCGACACCCAGGTACCACCAGCAGCTACACGTGACAAGGACAACCACACGCATCAGCCCCCTGCTTTCGAGATTCCCATCTGTGGCAGAGACCTGGGCATCACCACTCAGGGCTTGTCTTGCTTTAACTTAGGCCTGTTTCCTTAGCCTCCTCACTGGGGTAGCACCTTTCCTTCCAATCTGTTCAGGTTGCCTGGACAAAGCCCCCCTCACTGACTCCGCCTTATGGGACAGCAGCTTTGACTCCACAGAGGAGCTTCTGGACAGAGCAGCCGCACTCTAGTTGCTAGATTTCGGTTCTGTGCAAGACTCCATTTGACACAGAAATTCTGCCAGTAACACTGAAGACTATTGGTTAAGCCTGTCTAGTTCACATCAGCAGGGAACGTGACAAGCAGCTGCCTGATTCCTTCACCCTTGAACTCTGCAGGCTCTGGAATGTCCTGGTGAAAAGGCAGTGAGCCACAGGCTAAACCCTGGAGTGAGTCAGCTGCTCCTGAGGGCAGGAAGTGGGGCTGGCCGGCCCCCTCCCAGAACAGCTTGCCCAGCACCTCCCACCCCCTCACCACTGGGTGTCGAGTGAGTGTCCGCGGGTTGCAGTGTGAGACAGACTCTTGGCCACATCACCAGGCAGCAGTGGGTGTGGACTTCTCGTTTCCTCCTTCCCCTTCCTCTCTTCCTATGCCCATCTTCCTTCATGCTCATCGTCCTGACTTCATCCCTCCTTACAGAAAGAGGGCACAGCCTCCCTACTTGCAGCATCCCAGTGTCGAGCCCTCAGCACAGTGCCCTGCACTTAGGACGTGCTTAATGAAGTCTGCGCTGTTAAGTGCAACATTCAGTGCACTGTTAGAGCGTCCTTCAGAAAGAAACCCTTTCAGAGCTGCCAGTGTTTATTCTGGCCCATTGCAAACTGTGTTTTCTTATACTTTAAAACTTCTCACGTTGATCCTATGGCATATATCACTTTAGAACAGCATACAGGCACACCCAGGAGCTGGTCCTAATTCCACGCCTGCTGTTACGTCTGCGGCCAAAGCAACCCATTTATGAGGCGGTGGCACCAAGAACCAGGGGTCGGTCGGCTAGTCAGTGCTGGGCCACGTGCTGCCATGTTCACTGGACATGATGGTGATGGGAGGAGGGAGGCCGGGACTGGATGGCAGGGCACACTGCACAGACATGATGCCAGACTCCAGCACACACGACACGGTGGGCCACGAGGGGGTGGCAGGGATGGGACTTCGATGGCAGCAGGGAGGAGTGTGGGCGGGATGAGGGCCCAATCTCACCTCAAAGGCAGGAGGGGTGTACAACTAAAGCTGTTGATACAGGAACTGAGAAAGGCCACTAGATCAGAAACCAAAGGAGCCAGATAGTAAAAAGCCCTGAGGAAGCAAACTGTAGCCAGGAGAGAAGAGAAAAGAACAGGACGGTAAGCCAGGGCGAGGCTGGCCTAGAAGCCAGGGACCAGTTCTGGGGGTGGAGGTGGGGGGTGGGGCAAAGCTCAGAAGGACCCCTGGAGGGGAACAGTCACCCATAACCTGCCCCCCACAGCGGGGCTTGCCTGATAAAGCTGCAGGTGGCTTTTCATCAGCCTGGTTAGGATTTCTTGGGGAGCAACATAAATGGTTACACCCATACCCTGAAATTGCACCACCCTAACCTCAGGAACAAACAGCAAGTACAGCTGTGGTCCAGCAGAGAGCCGTGCTAGACCCGAGGGGCTGCCTGGGCTCTGAAAAGAGTGGTCCTGCAGGGACACTCGGACCCTTCCTCCCCAGGCCCACGCTAGACAGCGTGTTGCGGAAAAAGGAAGCTAGCCTTTGAGAGAGGGAAGGACAGCAGCTGCCGGCAACTTGAGGGTTGCTGAACTACATCCCCCTGTGAGTTGTCATTCAGCCTTATAGGGCTTCCTGGGCCCTCCAAGTTAACGGCTGTTTCTGTCAAATTTAAACAAAGCCGTGATGATTAGCTGAAGGAGGCCCCTGACCCAAGCAGCACAACCTGGGGTTCACTGCTCTGACAGTATCCTCAGGCATCCTTCGGGACCTGGGGGAGCAACGGCTCTGAATTTCAGCAGCGAGTGAAGACTGGGGCTGCTGCTCCCCCACGCACACCGGACCCTCCAGGAGAACTACCTCCTTCTTACACTCTGCCTGTGTTCACAGACTCCTCCTGGAGCCTCGTCTTCCCTTCCCTTACCTGCCAAGCCTCAAGCTGCTGTGAGAGGTTCAGTTTCTGCTGAATGGCATCCAGCAGCTGGCTGTTCAGAGACATCATGTCCATCTTGCATTTGGCGAGTTCCAGCTCCACAGCATTTTTCCTGAAAACAGACACGCCAGAGTGACCATGGATACCTTGTGCCAGAGCAGCGGTTCTTACCTAGGACACCTGGGGTCCACAAGATGAGGAAAGACGCTCTGACCTTAAACTCACAACAAACAGTAACTATGATGTAACTTGTAGAAAGCTGGAAAGTTTGTAGCATATTTTCACAGACTTTTTTTGCATCTTCCCTAAGTGACCTAGGTTATATGTCTGCCCATCTCACAGATGAAGTGGTTAAGGGCATGATACTTAAATCAGGACCAGAACCCGAAGGAGATCAAAGGCCTCACAGCATTAGGGAGCTGCTGATCCTTGCCCCCCCAAAGCTAATCCCTGTGGGAGGTGGGGACCTTGTCCTCCTGGTCCCCTCCTTTTCACTAGCAATACCCCTCTTAAGGGATCTAAGCGATACTCCTGTATGCAAAGGTGGTCACAAAATGGAGATCACCACCTCTTAGCTAATTATTGTAGCCAACAAGGGGCTAAGGGGCTTGTGCTAAATTACTTACAATGTATTTGGGCCTAGGGGATGAAAGCGCGCCAAAAAGTAAGGTCTGAAATACTTGCTCTGCTAAAGAAAAACGGCCTGTGTGTACTCAAAGGTCACAGACGAAAGGGCATAATCTCCGGGTGATGACCATTGGTGGGTAATTGCTCCCATCCACTTGCACGCACTCTGTATTTTTACATTTTGACATGTTTCACACATTACTTTGTAAAACTTCCCCAACACTGCTACATCACAGTTCAGTGAAAAAGAATATTGATTTTTGGGGTGGAGGGTGGGGGGATGGGAACAAGAATAGAAAGTGCAGGGAACTGCGCCGCCTCCCCAGAGGTGGCAGTGGTTGCCTCTCTGCCAAAACGAGTGTTTAGTCCTCGTCTTCGTCAACTGTCACTTTTTGCATTCGACATGACAAAAACTAGTAAAAGTGTCCTTGCTGCACAGGGCCAGCGACCAATATGCACCGCCCAAGGACAGCTAGAGGACCCGCGTGCAGCGACAGCCCAGCTGCAGCCTGAGAAAACTACTCCAACAAGTACCAAGCGAAGTGCGGCCCGAGGCGGGGCAGTTGGGGAAAAGCCAGTTCAGGCCACCACAGTGACCAGCAGGTCCTCACTGGCCCCTGGTCCACTGTGCAATTAGTCACCTCCCCGACTCCCCCACCGCTCCAGAACAGCGCCCCGCCACTCCTTTCTGGAGATGCTACTCAGGACGGCCCGGCCCACACAGCTGGGCCGCACCGCACTGCGGCTGCAGGGACTGGAACTGAGCCTGTCCAATGAGCGCGGAGGCTAGGACGCGGCAGGCCGCCACGTCACGCCCGCTGCCATTGGCCAGTGGCAAACCGGAAATCTTCCTGAGCCGGTTGCCATGGACGCCCAGCCAGCCAGAGCGAACCGCCCCACTGCAGCCTCCGGAACTCCCAGCAGGCGGCGCCGCGAGCAACCCGAAGACCCAGGGATGTGCTGACTAACGAACGCTGGGCCAGCGTTCGTTAGTCAGCACATCCCGCTGCTCAGGCCCAGCGGAGGGGCGGCAGCTGCTCCGGAGTGGGGGGCGCGGAGGGGGCCTTCTTCCAGAAAGTGCCGGAAGCAGGGCCTCACTAGGAGATGGAGCGGAGTATAACCCACTTTTGGGACACAGCAAGTCAATCAAATATTCGGGCTTTGGAGCCTGAGTCTAATCAATTATAAAGACATTTATGGGACAACTGGGGAAATCCGGACCCTTGCACTAGATGACGTAGGAAATTGTAAGTTTTTTCAGGTGTGGTAAGTGCGTTGTGGTTCAGTATTTTACAAAAAGTGTCGTTTTCTGGTAGAGACCCACGCTGAAGTGATTACAGACTGGCGGACCGGATGTCTCCTGATCTTCCTTAGCGCCGACCAGTGGGGAGGTGGAGAAAGTGGGTGAGGACAGAGATGTGAAGCACTAGCTGATTAGTGTTGGGACGGAGAGATGGGTAAGCAGCCCCCCCCCTTTCGTGTATGCTTGAAAATGTCCATAATAAAAGAATAAAAGCCCCTAAAGTAAGGAAGGTGAGGTAGACTGGAAGGTTCTCTGAGATGCAGGTGGGGGAAAAAACAAGCCATGGAGAGCATCACCCACTGCTGCTTTTAAAAGCCCATGATGCCCTGGCTGGCGTGGCTCAGAGGCCTGGGTGCCGGCCAGCGAACTGAAAGGTCTCCAGTTTGATTCCCCGTCAGGGCACATGCCTGGGTTGTGGGCCAGGACCCCAGCTGGGGGCATGAGAGGCAACCAATGGCTGTTTCTCTCCCTCCCTCCTTTCCCTCTAGAAGTAAACAAGTAACATCTTTTCAAAAAAGCCCACGACAACTGCATTCCATATACACCTGCGTGTGCACAGGGAAAGGCCCGCAAAAACGAACACCCCTCACCAGCAGTGTCCGTCTGGAGAGAACGGGACTGGGGGAGGGTGGGGAGCAGGGGAGCGCTCGGTGGCACCTTCATAGTCTTCTGTGTGAGTTAACTTTTAAAACTGACCATACACTCATGGTACTTGTAATTAAAGTAGAACGAAACCAGCCATGCTCACTCACTTCGCAATAGCTTCATCCCGGTCCCTGATGGCCTTCTGAAGCTGCTCCTTCGGTTCCTTGTCCTCAGACGTCACTCTGAGTCGGTCTCTCTCCTCCTTCAGTGCAGTCATCTCCACACTCAGCAGAGTTACCTGCAGGGAGGCCAGAGGGATGAACTTGATGGCACCACTGCGGCTGCTCTGGGCTATTTCCCTCTGGGGGGAGGAAGGAGCAGGGGGCCCAGGCAGGTTAGAGCCTGTGGGACTCGAAGGCTAGTAGCTGCCCTCTGCCCTGAGGGAGGCCCGTCTCTCCTGGAGAAAGGATGCCGCACACTAGGCTGGAGCTCGGTGGCCCTGGACTGCTAGCCATGGGGCTGGACCCTCTTCGTACACAGCCTGTCACAGCGCCTCTTCCGTTTCAAGGAAATCCCAGGGAAGTGATGAGTGAAGACTACACATGCATCAGGGCTCTGGGGTAGAAACGCAAGTTTTGTTTCCAGTAAGGAGCGCTGTCACACACAGGGCCCCGGATGGTTAAAGCCAGGTTAGCCTGGGTTAAGCAGGTTAAAGCCTGGGACCCGGTTATCACCTTCATCCCATTCTCCAGGTCAAAGCCATGTGTAAGTCAGACACCTAACTGATGTTACCACCTTTCACTTCACACCTGTCACCTTCTCTGTGCTCCCTGCCTCAGACACTGTGTCCTGTGGGGGTGAGGCTCCCCTGGAGACCACGGCTCACCCCCACTCACTGTGTGGTAACCCTGTGACCTTGGGCTCTGTATAATGCTTAATCCCAAAATGTCTGTGCAGAGTGGATGGTCGTGATTTTTTGGCTAGTCATCACCCTGAATCCTCCCTATTCTGGGGGTATTCCTGGTTGCATGCGTCTTAGTGGGAGACAGGACATGCCCTCCCCCCACTAAGGAAGTCCAAAGGGGGGAAAGCCTGTTCCCAAGGCACATAGGTAAGAACCCTAGACTCGCCTGTCACAGCCGCCTACCTGGGACCGCAGCCTGTGACGGGGCAGCAAAGCCACAGGCCTTTGGGAAATTAGCACACCGACAGCAGCCTGCTGCCCTCCTTCCCATGGGTCCTTCCTGTTTGGAAGTTCAGTTCGCCAACCGCCCTGTTATCCTGTAAGCTGTCAGACTCAATACCCACACATTCTGCTGCTCAAATTAAGCCGAGTGATTTCTGTCGTCTGCAACCAGAAACCCTGACTGGCAGAGCTGTCGGTGAGCATTCGCTGAACGACTGGAAGACTGGGCGCCTCTCCTGCTTGGAGCTGATCGGATCGGACTGGAGTCAAGACGCCGGGCCCTGGCCTCTCGTCGAATATTACATATGCTGCTGACATTTTTCCAAGGGAGGATCCGTGCCTGAGGTCTGTCTCTCCAACTTGGGGAGAGACATCACCTTTCGGTTTACTCCTTTGCTCTTCTAGTCCCAGGCCTCGTCATCCTCAGACAGAATAAAACCAAGCAAAAACCCCAGGACTGAGGCTGAAGATCAAGTGTCCCCGTAGACACTTCCTACTCCCCAGACTGGGACGGCGAAGTTGCCAGCTCCTGGGGAAGCCCTCACTGGGCAATCAGAGGACACCCAATGAGAAGGGAGAGAGGACAATCTGTTGTCACTATGGGCAATGCATTTTGTACTCAAAGGTGCCTGGGAGGGAACATCAGAACCTGGGGAACTAGTGCTTGGTGCCTGGTGCTCTGGGCTTTTGAGGTGGGGATGGCTGTGATGGGCAGGGCGAGCGGCTTCGCAGAACAGGCAGGGGCCTCTGCAGAGGCCGCGGCACGCACCACGGCTGACCCAGAGTCAGACATGGCAGCAGGTGAGACGCCTAGCCCACCCTATCTGTCGGCAGGTTCTGCAGCTTGGCAGCCCAGAACCCAAGACCCAGAAAGCACCTGGCAGAGGCAGCCAGGCCTCTGCAGAACAAACAAGCCCTGACGTGACCTGGGCCGGCGTGGGCCAGCCAGGTGTTCTGTCAGCCGAGTGACAGATAAAAATACATGTTAGGCAGGAAATGCCAACATGCTCCAGATAAAATTCAACAAGAACTCTGCTTTGACCTGGAAAACCTGGCTGGTCGAGACAGAGCCAACCAGCTTTCTAAACATGACAAGGGACTCACCTCTCTGAGTTACACATACTTTTCATAAAAAGCGGGGATGAAAGTAGCTATTCCCCACGAACCAGCTGTTGGGAGGCTTGAATAAGATGAGTGACACCCGGAACCCAGCGCACACGGCTGTGGGCTCCAGCCCTTCCTCGCCCACCACAGGGACCTGCTTGCCGCCGGCAGTTATGAGGATACAGTGACAAGTTACAGCTACTCCTGAATCCACTTTTCCCAAATAAGGTGGGTGTCCTTGTGATTGAATGCCATCAGAGAAAAGACCCCAGAGTTTTCTGTCTAGGGCTTTATTTGCCCTTTGGTTTCACAATTACCCGAGGACCCACTGCAGGCAAGGCTCTGTGCCAGATGCTTCGGAAGAAGATGAAGACACATCAGATTCGGGTCGGTCTGCGTCAGGGTCTAAGGTCTGACTGGGAAGGTGAAATGTGGACCAGGACCAGGGTAGCTCCAGGGGGAAGGGAATCAGAGTTTCAAGGAGGACGTGAAACCTTCTCAGGAACTTGAAAGATGGGGAAGGCTGAGAGGCGTGCGTGGCAGGAGAGTCCTCAGGGTGGAAAAAGCCAGAGAAGATACCCCGATGTGGGAAGGGGAACTGCGTGCCCTACGTTCAGTTCTGCTGAAGCAAAGGAGGTAGAGTGAAAACAGGAAGGAAGGCAGATGCTGGGGTGCAGCCAGACAGTGGGGGCCACGTGGGCTGGAGGCTTCCAGTTACTTGATGATGGTACGTCAACCCAGAACCTGTCAGGGGTGTCTCATTTTCAAGTCCAGCTTCAGGAAGACAATTCCAAAGCCTGTGGAGGGTGACTGGGCTGGAGGAAGTGATGGACAGAGCCAGGGATCTCAGACCTGGAGGTGTGAAGGAGCTGCTAGGAGCAGTTGCTAGGAGGATGGAGGGGAGAGAACACACTGAGCCTTTGTAGAGGAGGGCCACCAAAATTTCATCAGTGAGACCTCGACTGCTCCCAGCCCACGCTCCTCGTGTTTCCACACCCCTTCTGAAGTAATTGGCGTGCACTCTGGTCAAGCCTGAGAGAGCCAAAGGACCACACTGGGACTGTGTTTTTCAGTGCACCTCCTACAACCTGGCTTCCTGGCCTGGGACTTGGCTAAGCCACCTCACAGACAAAGCAACCTACACCTTCTTATGCTTCTGAAGAAATAATGCCCTCTAGTGCTTCCAGTTTCATAGTTCCAAGAGACAACAAAACAAAACACCAGCTGATATTAGACAGCTGATAAGTAGAAGCACTCCACAGAAATTTAAATAGCCACTAAAATAAACTTCTCTTAATCTGAAGAACTTTCAGATCTACATTCTCTTGCACTTTATTCTTCCGGTTTCAAAAATCTGTCCCCGAGTCTGAACCACTTCCTGGCCAAATGACCACCGGAGGGCCAGGTCTGAGGCATGAGAATATCTCTGGGCTGTCTAGACCACTCCCCAAGCTTGCCACAGCTTTCAACAGCTTCTCTCTGCCCTTGTTATCTGGTCACCACCGTGAGTGCAGCAATGGCTGTGGGTGGGACTCCCTGCGTCTGCCAGGAGAATGCTACCAGGAAGACTAATGAGCACAACGCCCCCCAAAAGACAGGAGTTTATTTCTGCACGATCCGTTAAGTAACATGGACTGAAGTGAAAGCCAGGCTTTAACTCCACTTCTTACAAGTCTTGTGGAGCAGAGAGGGAAGACCAGCTTCGGACAAGAACGAGAGGGGGCAGGGTTTAAACACACTGCCTGTTTGATGTCCACAAGCAGGACAGAACCTCTACATGTGACCCTGGTCACAAGGAAGAGCCTGCCTTTTTCTCCTGGGGCACGTTTTAGAAACAGCTATCTGGGTGGGGCTGGCTCCTAAGCTCTTCAACACTTCTCAGCTCAGGACACAGATGTCCTTTCTCCAGCGTTCTCTCTAAGATGAAATCACGATCAAACAGGGAAGCGGCAGCAAGAGCAGCGGCAGCGCTGCTAAAGCTGAGAAGCGGCTGGCGGCGGTGGCAGTCTTTACACAGAGAGGAGGCCTGCAAAGATCAAGCCTTGATGTGCGAACTTCCCTGCTCAAGCACTGCTGGGACAACACCCCTGAGTGCCCTGGAGCTGTGGCACGGTCAACCGTCAGACTCCACCAGGTTACTCGGCTCTCTTGAAGGCAGCGTGTTGCTGGAGGAAATGGGGAGGCAGCTATTCTTATCCCAGACAATTACTTTGGGCTAAACCAGGGGATTGGCTTCTTCTCTTAAATACCCAGCTCCATACAACCTTAGGTCACTGTCCCCTGAGGATCTGTCAGAGGAAACCTGCTTCTCAAACAGATGTGGGTGAGTGGAACTCACCAGCGTCCCCAGAGCCCGGGGAGACATGCACGTCCCCTACACTGGGCTGAGGACGGGTGCTCACCTGACTGTGGAGTCGCTGCAGCTCTTCTAGGCTTTGCCTCAATTTACCCCTCTCTCCCTCCATGAGTTCCCTTAGGGCTCTCGAATCCTCACTGGTCTGCCTTATCTGTTCTTCTAAGGAGTCATCGTCAATTCTCCGGGAGCTCTGACAGCAAAAGAGAGCGAGCCAGACAACCAGGGAGATGGTGAGAATGGAGGGGACCAGGGAGATGGTTAGTGGGAGAGGTGGAGAGAGAGCAGGGTTGGTGAGGGTGGAGGGGGGGCAAGACAGCAGGAGATGGGATGGAGAGCAGGAAGGAGAGAAAGAAAGGGTTAGAGGAGAAAAATCTCTTGCTCAATCTGCAAACAGCAGCTACACATTTGCTTTTTGTTTTGTTTGTTTCAGGCTTCAGGAAAGGGAAACTGCGGCATGAACAGAACAGCTCCCTTTCCCCACAATGACCCGCCTCCCTACTGCAACACGCGGCACAGCGACAGGGCCTGTTCAGATAAGGACAGCTACCCTTTCATCTTCCTTCACCAAGCACAGGTAGGAAAAGACACAACTCTTCTGTAGGAGGGTGAAACCTGAGAACAGCAGCAGGAATGTGAATGGACAGTAGGGCTGGCAGAGAGCTGCCGTGAAGCCAGAAGCAATGCCAGTCTGCCAGGAGCCCCTGGGAACGTCTCTCTGCTCCACCAGAGGAGCCACATCTGGAACTCTAAAAGGCCCTTCTTGTTCATCTTCTCAACTCTCCGTGCTCACATTTTTTAAGCAGAAGCTTCAGGACTTTTTAAGTGTGCCTGTTCATAGCTTAACCCCACCACTAGGTCCAACGGGCTGCAGAAAAGTAAACCTGCGGTTTTTGCTTGGATCCAAAGTTCTGTATTTAATGCTTCCGAGGAAAGCCCTTGAACTTGAGACCACCATGGCCTGTACAAACTACATGGAGAAAGGACTCGATTTGTGTCCTGGTGTCTGCAGGGAGATGCCTCCTGTTCCCTGGCACTCAGCCCCTCAATGCTCTCAAATGACATGGGCACAGAAGAAATTCTTGCAGGTTTTATAAAGGTTCCAGTTCCAGGGCCAGCCTCACTCTCTGTGCTCGGTTTTAAACTCCCACTAGCCGGGTCCTGGGGGTAAGGAGCTTCTCAGCCTGGCCTCTTACCGTGGGCTCCATGCCATCCACGATGCTCTGGATCAGCCTCTTGAGCTCGCTGAGGGCGGTGCGCAAGCTGCCGGCCGGCACGTCCTTGGCAGACGAGGTTTCCGAAGACTCGTCCATTGAGGAGTCCGTGGAGACGGCCGAGTCAGCACTGTCGTTGCCTCGAAGGTGTGAGCAGAGGTAGCGAACCTGGCAGTAGGCTTCCCAGAGCTGCAGTCTCAGCTGCCCACAAAGAATTATTCTCAATTATGGGCTCTGGAAAATACTGCCACCTGGTCATCCATTCCCCAGGATGTGAACCCGAGTGTCTAACTAAGTAAGATACTGTTTTAGGAGAAAGGTTTTTTTTTTTTTAAATCACCTGTTTCAAGAAATACTAATAGTTATATGGGCCTGGGACACCTACACAGACGCCCAGTTCTTATTTTCCCTGCTCTCCAGTCCCCTACCATTTTGCAAACAAAGCACCTCTTTATATAGTCACCTACTTTGGTGGGAGTCAGTGAATGATTAGCAGAATGAGTTGTTATGAGTAGTATGAAAAAAAGCCAAGTGGATGGATCATGAATGATCTAGAACCTTGCAAGTGTAAGAGATATGAGGCTAATGACTAATTAACAAGCATTTCCTGAGGGGCACTAGGGTGAGAATGAGCCAGAAACATGCTCCGCTCAGGGCCCGCCTCATGTCGGCTCTAGCCTGCGGGCCTAGGGGTGTGCACAGGCTAATGCTGAAGCAGTAGGCGCTGGGCAACAGGTGGGCTGTTGGGCTCCTGAGGTCCAGGGCCTGCCCCCATCCCGCGGCAGCCTCGCATGCCAGAGTGACAGAGATGTCAGCACCTGCTCTCTCTCCTGCTCCAGCTCCTCGGCCTCCATGCTCTGCTCGATCTCGGACAGGAGGGACGTGCTGGTGGCGGCAGAGCTCTGCAGGCTCCTCTCCTCGGTGAGCTCGTCCACCTTCCCCTGCAGCTGGCGGCAGGAGAGGCGCACCTCCTGGAGCTCCAGCTGGCTCTGATGCAGCTTTCAAGGAGACAGCAAATGGCAGTAAGGCTTCTCAAAACCAAAACGAACGAAGAATGCTACCCAGAAGCTGATCGTGTGTCCAGATCCAACCACCAATTTACAGGAAAATACAGCGGGAGAAACACGCTCGACTACAGGAGGGGGGCACAGTCTGTGGAACTCAGATTCAGGAAATTCTACATGACAAACAGCTCCATTACTTCGACAGATACACATCCAGGGAAAAAGGAAAGATAAAGGGGGAACCTACAGATTAAAGGAGGTTTAAGACACCCCAACCAACTGCAATGTGTAGGCCTATTTTCTTTTTTTTACACTATTTTATTTATTTTTTGTTACCTAGGAGTGATGTTTTGGGTGGACAGCTTAGTGGTTAAACAGTCTTATACTTTACATAGCATTCCACTCACTATTTCCAGTTCCCCAAATGGCATCATACACAGTTATTACAATATTATTGACTGTATTTTTATGTTTTACTTACTTCCCCATGACTGGTTTGCAAGTACCAATTTGAAAAAATTATTTTTTATTGATTATGCTATTACAGTTGCCCCATTTCCCCCCTTTGTCCCGCTCCACCCAGCACCTTCCCCTCAGGCCGTCACCACATCACTGGTCCGTGTCCGTGAGTAACGAGTGTAAGTTCTCTGGCTACTCCGTTTTCGATGCTGTACTGTATATCCCCGTGGCTGTTCTGGAACTACCTGTTTGTACCTGTTTGTACTTCTTAATCCCCTCCCTCTTCACCCCTTCCCTGACACCCCCTCCCACCTGGCAAACTTCAAAATGCTCTCCATATCCGTGGTTCTGTCCTTGTTTGCTTAGTTTGTTCTCTGGATTCAATAGTACAGAGATATGTATTTATTACCGTTTTATTGTTCATAGTTTTGACCCTGTTCTCTTTCTTAAATCAGTCCCTTTCACATTTCATATAATAATGGTTTGGTGATGATGAACTCCTTTAGTTTTCTCTTGTCTGGGAAGCTTTTTATCTGTCCTTTGATTCTGAATGATATCTTCGCTGGGTAGAGCAATCTTGGCTGTAGATCCCTGCTTTTCATGACTTTGAATATTTCTTGCCAATCCCTTTTAGCCTGACAATTTTTTTCTTTTAAATATATTTTAATGATTGTATGCTATTACAGTTGTCACATTTCCCCTCTTTAGTTCCCTTTGCCTTGCACCACCCCTCCTCCCACCTGCACCCCCCACCTTAGTTCATGTCCATGGGTCATACATAGAAGTTCTTTGGCTTCTCCATTTCCCATACTATTCTTAACCTCCCCCTGTCTATTTAATACCTACCATTTATGCTACTTATTCCCTGTCCCTTGCCCCCCATTCTCCCCACTCCCTCTCCCCACTGATAACCCTCCACATGATCTCCATTTCTGTGATTCTGTTTCTGTTCTAGTTGTTTGCTTAGTTTGTTTTTGTTTTTTTTAGGTTCAGTTGCTGATAGTTGTGAGTTTGTTGTCATTTTACTGTTCGTATTTTTGATCATCTTCTTTTTCTTAGATAAGTCCCTTAACTTTTCATATATAAGGGTTTGGTGACCATGAACTCCTTTAACTTGACCTTATCTGGGAAGCACTTTATCTGCCCTTCCATTCTAAATGAAAGCTTTGCTGGGAAGAGTCATCTTGGATGTAGGTTCTTACCTTTCATGACTTGGAATACTTCCTTCCAGTCTCTTCTTGCCTATAAGGTTTCTTTTGAGAAATCAGCTGACAGTTTGATGGGAACTCCTTTGTGGGAAACTATCTCCTCTTCTTTTGCTGCTTTTAAGATTCTCTCCTTCTCTTTAACCTTGGGTAACGTAATTATGATGTGTCTTGGTGTGTGTTTCCTTGAGGACAACTTTTTTGGAACTCTGAGCTTCCTGGACTTCCTGAAAATCTATTTCCTTTGCCAGATTGGGGAAGTTCTCCTTCGTTACATTTTCAAATAAGTTTTCAATTTCTTGCTCTTCCTCTTCTCCTTCTGGTACTCTTATGATTTTGATGTTGGAACATTTAAAGCTGTCTCGAACGTTCCCAAGCCTCCCCTCGTTTTTTAAAATTTTTGTTTCTTTATTCTGTTCTGGCTGAATGTTTATGTCTTCCTTCTGCTCTAAACCATTGATTTGAATCCTGGTTTCCTTCTTATCCCTGTTGGTTCCCTGTGCATTTTCATTTCACTTTTCACAGCCTTCATACTTTCCTCTATTTTGCGACCATACTCGGCCATTTCTGTGAGTATCCTGATTACCAGTGTTCCGAACTCTGCATCTGATAGGTTGTCTATCTCTTCATCACTTAGTTGTATTTTTTTCTGGAGCTTTGATCTGTGTTTTCATTTGGGCCATATTTTTTTTTGTCTTGGCACAGCTGTTATGTGTTAAGGGGGTGGAGCCTTAGATATTTGCCAGGGTGGGGCAACTCACATCACTGCGTTGTGGCGCTGGTTGTGGAAGAAGGGTCCGACAGGGAAGAGTGACGCTTGCTCAGCTCTTAGCTGGCTTTCAGGTACTTCCCCAGCTACCCACAAATGAATTGGGCCTTTCTGGTGCTGAGTCCCAGGTGGGTGGGCTTGTGTACCTTCTAGGACCCTGTGGTTCCCTCCAATGGTCTCTCCTGTGAGGCTGGGAGTTTCTCCCGCTGCTGCCTCAACCCCCACAGGTGTTTTCAATCAGAGGTTTGAGGCTTTATTTCCCCGAGTTGAAGCCTGGGATTCGGGGTCTGTGTCGCTCCCCAGTTGTTCCTTCCAGTTTCTCTGAACGTGAGTGTGGGTCTACTTGCTTCGCCAGCTGATCTCCTGCCTGCCCCAGTCCTCCAGCTGCTGCCTTTTGGTGAGTCCTCTCCGCCCCGGCTGCCCGTCTCTGCCCCTCCTACTGGTCCGGACGAATGTTTCTACTTTAACTCCTTGGTTGTTGGACTTTCCACATACTGCTTGATTTTTCTGGAATTGCTTGCAGTTCTGGTTATTTTTTGTTTTTAAATTTGTTGTTGTCCTTTTGGTTGTGCAAGGAGGCAAAGTGTGTCTGCCTACGCCTCCATCTTGTCCAGAAGTCCAAAGTTTTTTTGAGAAACCAGCTGACAGTCTTATGGGGATGCCCCTGTAGATAACTAACTTCTTTTGCTGCTTTTAAAATTCTCTCTTTAACTTTTGGCATTTTAATTATGATGTGTCTTGGTGTGGGCCTCTTTGCCTCTATCCTGTTTGGGACTCTGGGTAGTCAAGGTGTACCCTCCATGTGGGCTGAGTACACCCTCCTCTTGTAGTTGAGACTTGACTGCTGTTGACAGCTCAACAGCAGGGATTTACGCAGGCATTCAGCTGCAAGGACTGGCTGTGACCACTGACCACTGGCTGTGCAGGCCAAAGTCAGTCCCCACCTGTGTTCTGCCCAGGGCCACCCTGCCTGAGCATAATGCATTGAGATGTTGGCTACTTGGGTTGGGCTTAGAGAGTCCCAGGTGAAGCCAATCTGTGAATCTAGGCTGGCTGCTGCTAGTGCTGTGCCTGCGACCACTTAGCAAGAGGTGTGAGGGCTGGAGGCTTACCGAGCTGCGCTATTGTTTGTTTGATAGGATTTAGGAAGTGAAGCATGAGCCAAGACCTGCCATTCACATGGAAAAGTCATAGTTAACAAGTTGGGTGGGCCCGTAAGTTGGGTGAGATGAAGTCTCACGGGATCTCCAGTGCAGGGCAGTGTCAGCCATGGTGATAGAGTCTCAGAGATGGCACCATCCTGCCAGCTCTGTGGCTCTGTGGCGGCAGGGCTCAGAATGAAGCAATGGTCTCTGCCTGTCTCTCTGTCTGGGAGAAAGCTGTCCCTCAGCTCTCGCTTTGATGCCAGACACTTCGGTTCCTCTCCATATGCCACTGGTGCCTTTCCAGCTCCTACTCGGGGCTCGAACTGAGAGACCGTGATTTTGAGTAAGTCCGTGTGTGTGTTCTTTCAGGGAAACTGCTTAGGACTCTAGAATTTTCTTCTGACTCAATCCCTACTGGCTTTTGCAGTCAGGAATTATGGGAACTTATTCCTGGCACTGGAACCCTGGCCCAGGGGGCCTGGTGCGGGGCTGAGACTCCTCACTTCTGAGATAATCCCGTCCAAGTTTTCACCCACTGCATGTGGATGGGGGACAAGTCTGTTCCGCATCTTCACTGCTCCCACCGGTCTGGGTGGATGTGGTGTCTTTAGTTCCATACTCGCCAGACTGCCATGCAACTCGCTCTCTGACGGTTCTGAGTGATGGCTGTTCTGTATTTCAGTTGTGATTTTGATGTGGTTGTTCAAGGAAGCGAGCCGTCTTCACCTGTGCCGCCGTCCTGACTCTGTAACTACTTGGCAGGCTGCAGCCCTACTTTAATTTGTGTTTTGATTCAAATAAAAATGTGAAAGGTAATCATGACATTTATAAGACATGTGAAATGAGAACACTGACCAGATGTTTGATGATATTAAGGAAATGCTGCTCATTTTTAAGGTATAATAAGGCCTGTGGCTACATTTTTTGAGTTCTTACCATTTAGAGGTATATGTTATTAGCAGACAAAATCATAAAAATTCTTGGATTTACTTTAAAACAATACAAGAGAGGAGCAAGTGGATGTAACGAGGACTGGGTAGGGATCGACGGTTTGTAGAGCTGGGCGGTGGGGTACATGGGGGCATCATTATACCGCTGTATTTCTGCGTTTGCCTGAAACTCTCCATAATAAAAAATTAAACATGCACACATACAGGTAACATACCATTAGGCTTTCACCAAAAATGGCTAAAGCAAATAAATAAATCACAACAAAATAATAATACCAAGTGTTAATGCGGACGTGGAACAACTGGGACTCTCACTGCGGGTGGCGGTGGAAGATGCACAGCCGCCCCGGAAAACCGGCAGTTTCTGACGGGCGGAGTACACACCGACCCTGTGCTCCCGCAGTTCCCCGCCTGAGGTGCAGACCGAACACACATGCCACATACGTGAACAACAGACAAACGATGTTCACAGCAGCATTATTCCTAAGAGCCACAGATGGGAAACAATCCAAATGCCAGTAAGGACAGCATGGACATACTCCCACGCTGGAATACCGTACTGTGTGCTGTAGTGAAACCAAGAACACACAGCTACCATATGTCACAGTGTGGATGAATTTCATCGACATCATGTTGAGCAAAAGCCAGGTACAAAACTATATATATATATATATATATATATATATATATATATATAATGTATATGTATATGTATATATATATATGTATATATGTATATGAATGCATTTAT